TTGGGTTAATGCCTTCTTAATACTAGCATTAAAAGGAGGAGAAAGGGAAAAAAAAACGGAAAAAAACAGAAACTGTCTTTAGAAAGCTAGAATTTAATGTGACATTCTCAACCACTCTAAAATTGCAGAGGATAATCTAGCTTAAAGAACATTATGAGGTATTTGACAGAGTGAGATCAGGCACAGACACGCAAAAATGGATAAAACCAAGACACAAATATGCCCTCAGCAGCAACATACGGGTCTGATAACATTTGACATAAGCCCAAAATATCTACTGGTTTCAAGAGTGTGGATGTCAAAAGAAAAAGAGATCAGCTGCATAAATATTGATGTTCTCTAATAACATGTTAGAATGATGGATATGGAGAAAGAGCAGTTTGTCACTGAATTTTGCTAAAAGCAATATATTTTTGTCTCTGTAGTAATTTGGAAAAGAATTTTAGTTTCATTCCTGAAATGAAGCACTGCACAATGATCATATTTGCAAACATCCTAAGAGCATGGGAAGCTAAAGTGGAGAAGTTCATTTGGTGAAATTGCAAAGCTTTTTCTATTTTTTTCCACTGGAAAGATCAAATGAATTTGAGTATTATTTGTCACTGAAATAAGACTTACATAACTATTAATTTGCCATTAATGTCTTCTAACTTAGTTCATTGGTTTGCTCCTGGTCTTCTGATCGCGTGTATTGCAGGTAAGTTATTTTTTCACAAGCTCTTTTTTGGAGTGAACCAAATAGTTCTCTCTGAGACAAAACCTGGGGATATTTTATTCTGGGAACTGCTTTCTACTGGCGTTATAGACAAGACCATGTCAGGTTTAGCTTCCTTGACCCTGCATGATCTTCCAGCACTGCCTTGTTCCTTGTACACCTCCCACTCTCCCATGTCATGTCCCACATATGTACCATGCTGCATGCTTAAAAACACCATTCTGGTAGGCTGGGACATGTTCCTCCTGTTATTCTAAACACTTTGCACTGAAGAAAGCATGCAGGGATCTGTGGCTTAGAGCCATAAGAGCAAACAAACTCACTGAGTGTGGACTTGGGCAGGCCACGCTGGCGTGAATGAGAGCCGCTGTGAACCCCTTGGCCTAAAGGTGGGTGACTTTAGCAGTGTGGCTGTATCCCGAAGGAGCAATGTATAAAGAAATATTTAGGAAATAATATGAGAATGGGAATTTTTTCCATCTTTAACTGATTTAGCTTTAATAGACTAATATAATTTAGGAATATTAATTGAGGAGCATTAGTTTATTCGGTATGAATCTGGTTGTGAGAATGAAAATTGTTCAAAATTGTTATTTCAGTAAAACTTCTGCTTAGCAAAGGAAAACTGGAAGGAGCACAAATAATGCAACCAGGAAGGCCACAGCTGATGAAACTGGTAATTTGGCTACCGCAGTGTCATGTCTGTGGTCAGATCTTGTTTAGATGTTGACCCAAATTAGTTGTCTGTTTTTATCTGAGTATGCATTTGATCTCAACACAGTTAACAGTTTTGTGCTGTTACTCAGAATACGATACTAGAGTTTTTATGATGTTAGTACAAATAGCATTTTTCACTACTTGTATTTTAGACGGAGGGAGCTCACTTTAGAGCTGTAGTTGAAAGTTTGCATATAAGCAGTCCACTACTCAATTTTAAGATCTGGCAAGTAATGCAGGGCTTTTATGTGTACTTGCAGTTCTGTGAAAATTATAAATATTAAATAAATCTACTTGGGAGGAATAAAATAGGAAAGGTTTTATGACTAATGACATCAGCTAAAAAATCTTGTTTGTGCAGGTTATTTTTCAGAGCTGTGATTGCCTGATATGTTGCAGCATCTTATAAAATGCTTTCATGTCAGATAACAGTAATGTTATGAAGAGATGCTACATTTCTGTACTCCTTGACTTTGGGAGACATTTGTTTTCAGCTCAGATACATATTCTTGTAGAAAAAAAGGCATTCATCAGTTCATTCTGCTTCAGTTTTAACTTAATTTTCATGTGAAAATTTGCCCAGAACAACAAGGGGAGCGACATCAGGTGACCGTTTTCTGACAGGCAGTTTAAGATCTACTCTTTATTTAGGGCTTTTTACTGGTCTCCTGGCTAGTTAAGAGTAGATGGATTTTATAGTCCCTTCCGTAAATACTTTTAAGATGCAACTTTTGGGGGATGGTTTACTGTCAACATTACTAGTGACAGTGTTTCACTTTGCGGATTTTCAGTTCCTCCTTCTCTTATGTCCTTGACTGCCTTTTCTACTTATCTTTTCCTCTAAGCTCATGCATAGCATCACAGTATAAATATATTAACAGATACTGAAATATATATGCATCTAGCCTATGCGTCAAGAATACTCACATAAATAAGGATTTGCTAGATCAGGCCTTTGGTAGCTGACCTAATTTTCAGTTTTAATCAGATTACAAAAGGAAATTTAAATAAATGTTTCAGACTTTAAAAGGGTTAAAAAGCTAGGAGATTTTAAACTAGATCCTCAGCTGGTATAAACTGGCACTGTGAAGTTCTGAACTGTCAGTGGAGTTGTGTTTTTCTGAGGCAGCAGACGTCTCAGCTCTAGACTCCAACATGTAAGTGAAGGACTAAAGCTGAGAGGCAAACTTTGCCAAGAGCTGTGCGGCATGTACGGGACTAATAAATGGTAACACAGAAAATGACAAAAAGGCTTAGAGTTGGTGGGAATTCAAAAGGGAGCTTGCATGAACTGAGCTGGTGAGCATGGCATGCTCTGAAGGAGTAGCCGGGGTTTTGTTATACTGCTTTTGTAGCTGTGGTCAGGTGTGGCTCAGGCTCGTGGATCTGATTATCTTGAGGCAGTTGTGCCCCTATGTGAGAGTCAATCCACACCCTGTGTCTGGGTGTTGGGGCCAGGGCAGCTGGCCGGCTTCCTTGCAGGCAAAGCTGGGGTATTAGTCAATGTATTGGCAGATGTAGATAATCATCGGGAAGTTGGACCTGAGCTTGAAGTTGGTGCCCAAGCTAACATAGCAGCAGAATTGTAATCAACGAATTTAGAGATTGCTAGTGCTGAAGAAAGCTGCTATTGCAGTCCCTCAGCAAAGATGTCTCCACAGAAACCTGTCTTCTGTAGAAAAAAACAGAGAGGAGAAAAGAAATGTGCTGGGAGCTATTGCCAACACTAATGGCCATAACAGTGAGGAAGCTTCTAGGGCTCCTCCCAGAAGTGCTACTGCTGGGAAAGGAGCTGATTTGATGGGAGGGACCCTGTCGTATATAGTTAATTGAATAAGCTGTTCATTTTCTAAGTGCTCATCCGAACCAAGCTTAGCAGCTCTCCAGAGATGCACCCATCACTAGCTATGAAAATCGTTACACAGCAGAGCACATAGAACCTCAGATTACCTCTTTCCCTTTTGTTGTACAATGCTATTTTTATTCCAATGACTTGCTGTGCAGTAATATTTTTTGACAAATTTCTGTCTGTTGTCCTTATGTCCTGTAAATTCGCATGCACTATCTATGTGTGCATATTTTAGCCTACTGCAGTCTCACAAGAGCAAGAAGTGACACCTCCTCTCCTGTCACTTTTATTTTATGGGCAGGTGGGCACAGTGATTTAGATATCAGAGGAAATGGGTACAAAAATTCATCCAATAATTTAAATCAGAGAATTGCTCTGGTGTCAATGCAGCTTTGCAGGTTTATATCAATTGACAGTACTGCCCTGATACCCATGGATTCCATACAATTAGACATCAAAGATGTAATTGTTTCTACTTGTACACTAGTTACATGGTAGTATGAGTACATATAAATTAATGGAATTGACATCTCAAAGTTTAATGGATCACTGAGTCAAGAGTAAATGTATGGTGGTGTCCCACCTAAGTGTGAGGAGGTGCTAGAGAGAGTCATAGCCGTGATTCTGTACTGAGAAGCAGTGTTTTCTCTAACAGTGACTAAGTAATTTCTCAGGCATATATTTTTTCTAGGTGTAGTATTTTAATGGAAGAACTTCTATGTGCCCCAAAAAATGCATGATAGGAAACCTCTCAGATGCTTCTAGCGATGGATCTTGGATCTACTGTTCTTACACTAAGTTCTTGGGTACAGAGCAGGCCATGACTCATTTTCATAAGGGAAATAAGACCATTGGTTGAAACATTCGGATGCTCTTTCAATACTCATATCCAAGGGAAATCTTATTCTCCATAATCAACCAAATTATCTTATGAAGGTTGATGATGTTGCAAGTGAGTAGAGTGGGCAGGATTTTGCTCTGCAGCCAAGTCCACACAGCAAAGCCACAGAATGAGAGCATATACGATACTGCCCTACCTTGCACGAGCAGTAACAGTTGTAAGGAGTGCCGTGTCGCAGGCTGTTGTGCACGCTATCAGCCAAACTCAGAACTCTCTCAGGACCCCGAGGACACACGCAGCTGGGTACCAGTGCAGGCTAAAGCCATGGCAACACTTCTGATTCCCAGCATAGGCTATAACTTGTGCCTCCATGCTGACAAGCTGTGGTATTTCCTGCAGGCTAGATCACTGCTTGCATGGGAAGTCTGCATGGGCTGCACTAGACCTCCACTTAATGGTGTGGAGGGACCTCTTTGACTGCATCTGTCTGCAGAAGACAGTCATCCTCTGAGTTTTGCAGTGATGATCCTGTGGAATAATGCATTACTCTTGTAGAAGCTCACAGAGTGTAGAGTATGGAATAGAAGAAATCGAATCTGTGTTGCCTTTCTGTAAGATTTCCTTTGTCTGAGAAGGGCCCATTTAAAATATTATTTTGAAGTGCAGTAGTTTAGAATCAAAAGCGACAAAGAATTGGATTAATTCTAGTATCAGCATTGTTTGCAGCGCCCTTGAGAGGAAGAGAGCTGAATGTTTAAGGGACTTTTAAGAGAAGAAATCTGCTGTGAGTACAAGTCAGAATGTGGCACAGGTTCTGACGCTAGCATACACAAGCAGATCTATGTGGATAATATAAGTTTTTTTCTTTTTAATTTTAGAATCAACCTTGTCCTATGTTAGGCAGCTGGAGGCAAGAGTAAGACAGCTGGAGGAGGAAAATCGCATGCTACCCCAGGTGGGTGACTTCCTGTTGATGGGAACAGTAGTGGATAGCTAGACAGTAACTCCTGAGTCTTAGCGTTTGAGATAAAGTCAGTATTTCTTGTGATTTGACATTGCATTTGGGTAATCAAAGGCTCTCATGTCTTTTGTTTATCTTTCTCATGATCGAATGGAACATATCTATTGGTGTATTTAAGACTATAACAATACTTTCATTCATTTTTCTCCTTTGCAGGTGTTGATACCTTGCTAAGAAAAATTCACTGGAAGCTGCTACTTATATTATAATTAAAAATTCATTTGAGAGTAGAAAATTACAGTGAGCTGACCGTTTACATTCTGGTTTCATTCCAAGAGATTCTTTTAATTAGAATATCAAATACTTTCTATAGTTAACTAAAATGTTTTGCTCTAAATATGCAGACATTTTAAGTAATAATAATTGGGTTATATTATTTTTAATATTTTGAGGAATATGGAAGGAACTTAAATACAAGACTGAAATTAAATTGAATGAATAAGTAAGCAAATATGAAGTTAAAGGGCTTTTGTGTAAAAAAAAATTAAAAACAAATTTAGAAATTCGTTAAGAATGAATCAGACGCTTGTAATTTTTCATATGCAAACACATATGCCAGAGCATATTTCTATTAAATTTCATTAAATAATCCTTCAGAAATCAGTAATGTATCCAAATGAAGTTGCCCGCTAGAAAAAAGGAAAAAAAAAAAAAAACCCTGCATTTTGGTTAAGTGAAACACTAATTTAAATGAATTTCTCTGAAGAACGAAAATGCTTTTCATTGAACTTAGTCAGAACACTGTCGTTTGTATATAAGATCCAAGGTAACAGTGAAATGTAGGAAGAAGTAAAAACCACTGACTCTAATTTTTTTCATTTATATAAGCCAAGATGCAAATTCTTTAGCTAAGAGCTATTTCCTTCCTTCAGCAGATTTTAAGCAAAGGGTTTTTTTTTTTTTCTCAACTGTAGTGTAACAGTTAGAAAGACCTCTTTAGTTCTGTCTCTTGTTTTAGTCTGGACTTGTTGGGTGACCTTGTGAATTTATTTAATTTCCCTGTACCCTAATTTGTTAATCAGGAAAAGAAGGGCAAAAAGAATGGTTAAATCCAGTTACATTTATATGGTCTTCAATAGGAAAGAAAAAGTGTGATGCTCTCTGGTAAAGAAAATTATTTTCTTGTCAAGGAAGGTGTTCAGGGCAAATGTTAAAAAAAATTTGCCTGAAAAGTGCCATTGTGATTTGTCTTAGGTCTGAAACAGCACTGGGAGATAAATCGTGCAGAACGTTCTTTGTGGGCAACCTTTAGAAGTGACCATATATTTTACTTGTCCAGCTTTGGAGGTGCCCAGGTGGAGGCCCGTTAAGTGGACTGCCTGATCATGTCAAAGACTGGAATACCCACATCCTGAATGTTGAGATCTTTCAAAATATCTTCGATGGTGTGCCAAAACCAGAAATTGCTTGTGAAAACAGTGTCTCACCCTGTAGCTATTGTAAAAGTAATCAAAACAACGTATGCTGAATGTGGGATGTTTCAGGGGGAAAACTAAGGCAGCAAGTCTGCAAATTGTTTTTCAGTGATATACAGGTCCCGAGTTTATCCTATGTTTGAATTTGTTCGCACCAGGATCCACAGTAGAGTTCTGAAGAATATCCTAACATCTCTGAATAGTTTATCATGAGAAATAATGAGCGACATGGGTTCGCATTTCCTGGCATGCCTTCCTCACCTTTCCTCCTGAAGAGAGTCATTGCTTATGGGAGAGGAAGGAAGTGAGGACATCAGGCTTATTCTGAGTTTGCATTTGATTTTACATTGTGATTACGTTTCTATGAGTTTGTTTGAGGGGGTTGTTGTTCCTGTGAGTAACACCCTGAAAGTGCTATCAGTGCTGATCAGGCCCCATCAGAAAGACAAGGACACTGGATGGAAACGCGTAAGCTCCTGGCAATGGTCTCATTCCATGTAATAGGAGGCATGGGAGTTTGTTAGGCATTAAGCCAAACTCAGTGCTTTTAACAAATCAGCTGAAAATCTATGACGAGCTACACAACAGATGAGGGTTTTTGGCACAGCTATTACCTAATTATAGTGTTGTGCCTTAAAATTTCAGCAGTACTTCAGTGAGAGAGTGCCTTTTCTTTTTTGTATAGAGCTTCATTGTTTCTCACTGGTTGGCATCCTGTAGCACTGGGACGGTTTGAAAGTTGTAAAACTGTACTTAGTATGAGAGAGGTGATGGCTCCCACTCGTGAAAGTGAGTCTTCTACTATTTCTGTATTGAAGAGCCCCTTCATTGCTATTTAAGACACTTTTTCCTCTCCTCCTGCTGCACTTTTGCTCTTTTTCCTCTCTGCTCTCTCATCACTATCTATTCTATTCCTCCTTTTCTGCTTATATATCACTCGTGAAAATATACCAGCACATTTGCTGACACCTCTTCAGATAAATCACTCCTTCCATCTACCACTGAGTTATGATTGTTTTCCAGTTTATTTTGCTTTGCTTGTCTTCTTTCATACATACTACTTCTTTTGCAAACCCCGCAGACCTCTGATATAAAGGTTTTATTAATATTTAGTGGCAAGAACATTTCCAGGGAAAATGGTATTAAGTGCTGCCATCACTGTTCAAATGGAATCTGAGTTTAGTTCGCTCTGCCGTACCGACAGACTTCCTTGTCTGGGGAATAGCAGTACCACCACTGAGTCAATATTTTAGTCTGATCAGGTAATGGAAAAGGTAAAAAAAAAATGCACGTATTCAATTAAGCCCGTTAATGTCTCTTCCTGTGCTGCACAGTTGTTCTGGTGATGGTTATAGCGTGGGTTTAAGAGTTATGAGAAGCTGTAGAAGGGCAGTAGGTTTGCTCTGTTGGTGAAGGCTATAATTAGCTGTTTTTTCTTTTTCCCTCTCAGATAGCATGGAACCAGATATGATCCAGACCTTTTCAGTTTCTGGCCACAGATAGGATTTTTGTGCAAGAAAGCAGATACTTTCCAAGATTTATGATGTGCAGCTGGGTCTTCTGTAGAGAATGCCAAACTAAACTGGCCGAGTCCGAGACAAGGGGCATACACAGCTTGCACTGGTGCTTCTCAAACCCTAACGTGGGTAAGGGTGCCTGACAGCAACGTGCAGAGGCGAGAGAACGTGAGAGAGAACGTTTCTGTTTTGCCAGATGAATTTCAACCCGGAGGAGCTCCCGCGTGGTTCACCACACGCCTGCACATTTCTTGTGCTGGGGCTGCAGTGGTGTTGGCGCAGGAATGGCTCTCTGCAGCAAAGGGGCAGGGGGGCTGCTTATTCTGGCAGTGGCTGTCTGCCGCTGCCTTGAAATGTACAGAGAACTACAGCTTCGCTGTGGCTCAATTTTTGCCTTAACCTTCAAGGAACTGCATGATAGCGTGGCCAGCAGCTAGCCAGAACAGAATTTGAGTATTGTACTGAAGATACCTAGCAATAATGAAGAAAATATCCTAGTTACAGCTTCATGGGCTGTGTTACGATATCACTTAGGTCAGTGAATAGCTTCAGGTAACTGAAAACAGGAGAGTTCTCCCAGAGCTGATGTGGTACATAACTGCTGTCCGTGTTTTACCCTGGTGAAAGTAAGATCAGGATCTGGCCTCCACATGTCGATGAACTGAAGATGTTCCTCAGCTATTTTAGGGATACTGTTGCAGGGCTGAGAAGCTAAGCTGAAATGTTACGGGAATGTGAACACTGTATAATAACAATGAATGCATTGTAAAAAGGTGTTCTTGGCAAGGCACCATCTTAAATTACTTGAATTTTTATTTGTTTTATGGGAGGAGGGAGCAAGAGGCACAGGTAGAGAGCTGTGAGATATTTCCCCCTTCTGATTCTTTGTATTTGTAATATGGTTACACCTTGTAATAAAAGAGAAAGGAAGCATCGCCAGGACACTGCTTCCTGCGCAAACAGAAGGAACTGGTCACTGGGGCCAGCGGCTCCATGAGAGCGCTCAAGGAACTGAGCTTCCAACTTCCATGGCAACCCTGCCTCCGCTGGACCCAGAGGACTTAACATAGCAACCTGCCGGTGCAGGGCTTGGCGAGCAAGTCAGCAGAAAGAGTCCACAGGGGGCTCTCTCATTTCCTCTCCGTTCTCTGTGTTAAGCTGCTTCCTTTCAGTTTCTTCTTTTGTTCACTTATTGCTACTTGCTAGTGTAATGTCTGGAGCAAAACGCAGACAGGACCAGGTCAGCTGCTGCTTGGATATGGAGAGTACAAGGCAGGCCCTGCCCCAAGCAGCTTAAGCTCTATAATAGGATGATCGAGAAGAAACGCAAACAACAAGGAAACAGGCACCTAAAGTGCATCTCGTGTATTAAGCTGTGCCCCCTCTCCAAAGCCTGTCCTGGTCCCACAGCCAGTCTGCTGTTCCTTCTTCCGCTTTCTCTGGGCCAGCTGGCAAGTCTCTAGTTTATCTGGAAGGCAGGGTGGCAAAACAGGGCCTGTGTTTTAACCCTCTGCTTAGTGGATCCTTCAGTGCAGCAGGGAAAACCTGGAAATATCAATGTACAAGAATACACCAGTGTATGTATTATCATTCTTCAGCATGTTACTGGCAGGAGCCACTAGCTGTACTTGGAGTACCCTTAACAGACCAAGTTAGTGTCAAGAAGCAAGCACGAGAAGTCAGATGTTCATGCAACTTCTGTGCAAAATGACACTGCGGGTTTAGATCACAGCAAGTTTTGGAAGCCAGGCTTGTGGTTAAACTTGGAGAGACCTTGGCAGAGCGTGTCGCCCAGGTGGCAAAGCACTATATAGACAGGACATACTTGCCGTGGCCAAACCCACCCTTTCCTCATCTGTGGCTGGCCACAGGATTTTGCCCCCTTCCAGTGGAGGTGGTGTGAGGCCTCATCCCTTCCAGGTCTGCCTGCACAATGTTCTGGACCTCACAGGGCCTGAGTTTGAAGACTACCCACATTCTGTCGCTGACTTCAGTCTTTTTA